CAGTCCGATATGTGCCGATGGAGCTTTATGCGTCATTGTCGAACATTATTTTACATGTTGCCAATGTCATATTGTGTCATTTCCATTCGTGACACCTATTATGCTTGTGCTTCATGTTTTTAGTGCATTTTGAATGCTAGGATATTGTGTACTCCATCATAACAGGCAAAGCAAACACTCTACATGGGTCACCAGCCACCACCTGGCAACATCGACGAGGCGGCTGGCATTAAATAAGCTAAGAAACAAGTTCATGCTGAATTCATATGGCATTTAGCAGCCAATTGATGAGGGCCTAATAAATGGCACAGGGATCCAATTAGATACATCGGTGTTCAGACGAAACGGGTCGACGGCCCCTGTTCAACACTGGGACCCCTGACTGATATCGTGTCTTCCATTGCCTCACTTTGGCCCCTTTCATAAATCACTTTCTTGTCAGAGGGTCCGACTCACGCAGGATGTCCTATGACAGGGCTCCCTGGCCGGTACAGGGTTCCCCATTGTCTCAGGGATTCCGACCAATACTACAGGTCTTATGACAGACACTCGTGGGGTCTGACCTTGTCCCTGCTCGGAAAATGCCCCTCCCTCCTTGGCTGACATGGCGCCGACTGCATGGCATTTACGTTCTGTGGGCAGCATGAGGATGTTCAAATCGGGGGCGGGGTGGGTGGGGGTGGGAAGCTTGGCGCAGGAGGCCCTCTTGATGAATGACGTTCGTGGACCCTTGCCAACAGGACTGGGCTTCATTAATATGCCATCTGATCAGCCATTAGGGCTCATTGAACACCTCATTGGGGTCAGTTATGTTCGGTTCCCAAGACCCCTCCAACCCTCGAGACCTTCGGGGAGGCGTATTTCCCCCGTGCCCCTTGCCCGCGCCCCCAGGTCCATGAGCAGCCAGGGGAGCCCTTGGGTGGTGGAAGTGCCTTTGAGCTGCCAAAAGGCCCCTGTGCAGTTGAGGACAGTGGGCGCTGAGGGGACAGTGGGCGCTCGATACACCAGATACAGCGGCCATATGGGCCCTGAGCGCACAGGTCCCTGAGTAGACAATGCGACCCCCGCGGGGCCAAAGAGCCCTTGGGTAGTTCCGAGATCCTTTTGGTGTTCTTAACAGATTTTGAAAGACCAGGGGCTCAAAGTAGCTATAAATTAAACCAACGAGAGTGTTTCTGCCAGCAACGGCCAGACGAGCCCATAGTTGACATACGGAGCCTATTGAATATCTATGGATTGTACTTCGCTTCGGCCTAAATTCCTATCCTGCAAAACCTATTTTAGAGAGATCTCATTCAGTACGTTAATTTTCATCCGAGGCGCGTGAGCTGAAAAGGTCCCTCCGAGGTAATAATGCAATCACAATGGCAGTTGAACATCCCAGTAATCAAACTAATACAGACGATGAGTGCAGAGTTGGAGTGTAAGTCAGTTGCATTCGCCGCTGATCCGTGCATGTTCGTCCGAATATGAACATAAAATACGATGTGAAAATAAATCGTTCCATTTCGGCCATACGAAAATACCACCCCAATTGCCAGTGAACCAAAATCAGAACAAGTAGGTAATTCGCGTATATATGCACCTAGCTGGTGACAGGTCATGCAAGTCATCTCTCTCGGGATGCGCGAAATATTGTGCGTGATTAATGCATTTTGAGGGTGGCAGCAGCAAAAGTGCGTCTTTACCACAAGGCTGCACTTTTCACTGACATATATGGTAGCACACTGGCACAACGAGACCATTACAGATTGCGAGGTTCGAGATATACTAAATAATTTTTCGAGGCGGCTTTACCGCAGATAACAGCACTGGCGTGTACTAATGAATTGTTACAAGAGTTGTTGATTGCATTTGCGAGGAACATAATGCATATAGATAAGTCAGTATGCATGGCCTTATCCATCGTAAAATAACCAGGAGAATGTGGAGATCGATGTGCTATTTCAGCTACATGCCTTTATCGACTACTGATATTCGTTTTGATAAAGGCATGTAGCCGAAATATCACATCCATCTCTCCATGCTCGAGAAATGGAGAGATATGAGAAATAAGACTATTAGTACTGTCTTATCGATCAATTGGTATGTCCAAATTCTAGATAATTGACGCGCTGCCGGGGCAGTTTGTTCGGCATCCCTCAGCTGTTGCATTTGTGGAGCCCATTTATCAATAAAATTACAAGAAGTGTGACAGAATATAATACAACAAAACATGGCGGCCATTAGAACCTACAAACACAACTTCATGGATGGGTCTAAAAAAAGCCAATTGTAACTCCGTGGCGCGTGCGTTTAAATCGCTGGTTTGGAATACACCGTTCTCAATCACCCGGGGCGTCACCAGATATTCCGGCTAGTTGTACGTACTCCAGGGAGCTGACCCCACGTTTTGATAAATACCGGAAAATACATCGTTTGGTAGGTTTGCAAATTTCGCTGGCTTTGCCCTCTTCAGCTACCACCACCAACATTTGGATATTGGCGCCACACTATGTCACACGAGTCATTACCATGTAAGATTAATACACAAGTTACCTCTTCTGCATTTTGATCATCCAGTGTAAGGTCAGTGACCTAGAAGACGCAGCTTTCTGCTGGTTTCTTCATACGCAAGGTGACAATAGCTAGTCAATGAAATCGAGGTAACACTAGGTAGTTACCCGAGTCGCGCTGTCGTGCCTGACGTCAATGGTATTTAGCAGCCAGCTTTAACCTATTATGTCATTTTTTCTCCAAAATGCACATCTCAGAATGGCAAGATCCACCAGCCTCTGTTGAAAATAACCGGCGTCATACACCCCACTACGTCTAGCACTCCTAGATGCGCAGAGGAAGGTAGTTTTGTAAAAAGCATATCATGATCTGAAAATGAAGTGACTGAAATCCAGGCACTTACGTGTGGGTGGGGGTGGGGGTGGGGGTGGGCAAGAAGCACCAGCTTACAGCGGTCACCAAAGCGAAGCGTGACCTCCTCCCCTGACGAAGTCCTGGATCCGCCCCTGCCGCACACTTAGATTGTAGGCTGGACAACAATGTCCTAGACGCGGCAGTCCGGAAGATCGTTCATGCAGAAATACACAATGTCACCTCCTCCCAAGCAGAATTTTAGTTTGATTGAAAGGGTTGAGCCTCTGGAGGACACAATCATTGGGAAAGAAAAACAAACGTGACCTGCGTCACGCGCCGAGTGAAGCTGGACGCAAAAGCTGCCGGCTAGCAGCGCAAGTCAAGAACATCAACGTGGATGGACACGCCGGGCATGCCCATTCTGTGGACGGGCGATAGGCATCGACATGGAGTTCGCTGGTTCTGCACAGTTTGGAGTTTGGTTGCGTGCAAGATGGTGAAAAATCACGTGATGTTTCCGATTGCGGTGCCCATCCGTTGATCCCGAGCTGGCGGTCCAGTCCGGCGATTTTCACACAGTGATCCGTACTCTTCAACGGCGATCTGTGTGCCTCAGCAACGATCCAGGTTCAACGGATCCATGTTCTTCAACGGCAATTCATATTCTTCGACGGCAATCCATAATCTTCAAGGGCGATCCATGTTCTTCAGGTTTTTCGCAGTTGAAATGTTTTCTTTTTCATGTTAAACGAACAGGGAAGATGAAATCGTGGTGGCATTGTAATGGTGTAATAAAACCTCACCTCATCAAACAGCCTTTCTGCAAATTTTCCACAATGTCACGACTGTGTACGACTGTGTGTGTTGTCACAGCTCACAAAAATACGCTTCTTGTTTCTAAAGACTGTTTGAACGTTTGACCAGTGGCGGCAGTTAGATCAGTCTTGAGGTCGTGTGGCGGCCGGACAGGCTGGACCGTGGCCGAGTTGTGAAGCTGTCATAGTTAACGTGAGGGTCTCTCGGCATACGTCCGCGCTCAAGACCATCCTGCGATCAGTGATCGTCCCGGCTTTATCCATGATCTGCATGTTCTGTAACCATACAGCCACGTGGAAACCCAAAGGCACATCAACCGCCTCGGCGCCTGTCGACCGTCGCTTCATCGTTCGCATATCTGCAGCGTTTGGCGTACACTTGGCAATTTCAGTGGCCTAGCGACTTCTGTAGACTTCTGGGCCGACAACACACTCACCGTCACAGAAACCCTTGTCAAGTCCGGGATCACGTCCATAACCACCCAAACCCCCCGGTTAGTCGCGTTAGCTACGGTTGTAGCCTAATGAAACTGGAGCGATACACACCGCTGCCCGGCTAGGGGTACGACTGTGTCTGGTGGCCTGCCTCATTGCTTCCGGGATTGTTGACTTTGAAGTCCACGGATCCGATTCCGCTCGTCCTCCTCCTGGTCTCATCCCTGACCAGTCGTCTCAGCCTTTGAATATCATGGAGTTTGTGATCATTGCAGTCTTCAAGAAGATATGTCGTAGTTCTGCAAAAGAACCAAGTAATGCGTTGAAGTTCTTTGACCAATGCCTGCGTTATTCGGCACATCGTGTGACTTCACACCCTATCATGAATATTTATCGTGCCATTGGCTTCCAATCAATTATGTCCTCATTTATGGCTATTAATTGATGCGTGGGTCCATTGCTGGTGTCTACGGGGCAGCCTTCGACTGTCTCAAAGTTCGAAGCACAAAATGCATTCGTTTTCCATTTGTCTTACACAAAGCTGTCTCAGACATCAGTACCGCGACATAAAGGCACGAATGGCATATGTACACACGGCTAACCAAACAAATGAAGCTCTACTACTGGAGTTTCATTCCTCGCTCAAGTCGCAAAATTCAAGCAGGCTCAAGTGCATGACGTGGCATCGTGGTGAGATTCAGGTTCAATGTGACGATGGCTAATGTGGCTACTGATGCTGAACAGCAAGCTTCGAAGCACGACATCACCAAGCTGGGTGGGGCGTCTGTGCCCATTTGCTGGGCACGAAGCTGCTCTGGTAACTTACAACTGACCAGCAGTATTTTGTGAACAGCAAAACGGCGTGTACACTCGACGCCAAACGGCGGCTTAGGGCCGCCCTTACGGCACGTGGTCCGGCCCCGCGCTCCGGGCCCTCGACGGCAGAGGCTTCTTCGACTCATGCCGCGAGTGGCCCCCGTTCACGCTGCGCCCAGCCGCGGGGCCGGGGGCCACAGCCGCGGGGACCGAGGGCCCCACCGCGGAGACCGCGGGCGCCGCCCGCACGCGCCGCAGCTCCACCGGCGCCACCCGCTGCGCCGCGTCCGCCGGCGCGCGGCCCGGCTTGGCCGGCGGGTCGAACGCGGCGCGCTCGTTGATCTCGGCCGTGACCGTAAGTGGCGCCGCCCTGGCGGCGGTCGGCGGCACCGCCGCGGGGCGGCGCTGCGAGTCGGACGAGTGGCTGGAGGCCGGCGAGTCGGTGTACTCGTCGGTGGCGGCCGAGCTGCCGCTGGAGGCCGGCGAGACGGGCTGCGGCCGGCAGTGGCAGCCGGCTAGCAGCGGGCGCTGGCTGGCGTCGTCCGCCCGCAGCACGCTGTGGGAGCGTAGCGTCGCCGGAGGCTCACGCTCGTGGCCTGTCGGCCAGGGGCGGACGCCGTCAGCGGAGCACGAACAGGTCGGCACGGCTGGTGCATGCGTCACTGACATCGTCGTGCGTACATAGAAACATGTAGCGTGACCGATGCATGCGTTTAAGCCACGGAGGCTGAATTCTTCTCCACTCATCTTCGAGCGCGCGCGGGCTTGTAAAGAAATGACTGAGTCAATTAAAGCTAAACAGTAAGGAATATTATTTTTAGGACAACGACATTGCACGTATCCCTGACAACGGAGAAGGGAGATCATAACCCGCTGTGTCTTGAGCCATGTAGCTGTTCTCAAAATTTGTAATTGTACATATATAACAACGTATTTAGCTTGGACATATCCAGCTCTTCAATTTCAAGGGGCTTAATTTCTATTTTGATGACATTTTATATGGTAAACGCACAAAAATCATCCAAGCTGCCCAAAGGAAACTATGTTTAAGACTCCACCGCTCCCTCCCCTGGTGGTTACACGTGTGCAGACCACGTTATCATCTGATCTCCTGAGTTGATTAGCTGTAAGAGGCGTTTGCCGAGCGCCCTTGGGTGGGACCATCCCAGCGCCCTGGGGTGGGACCATACGAGCGCCCTGGGGTGGGACCATCCCAGCGCCCTGGGGCGGGACCATCCCAGCACCCTGGGGTGGGACCATCCCAGCGCCCTGGGATCGGACCATCCCAGCGCTCTGGGCTAGGGAGGGGGGCCATCCCAGCGCCCTGGGGTGGGACCATCCCAGCGCCCTGCGGTGGGGCCCATCCCAGCGTCGTCGGGTGGGACCATCCCAGCGCCCTGGGATCGGACCATCCCAGCGCTCTGGGCTAGGGAGGGGGGCCATCCCAGCGCCCTGAGGTGGGACCATCCCAGCGCCCTGCGGTGGGGCCCATCCCAGCGTCGTCGGGTGGGACCACCCCAGCGCCCTGAGGTGGGACCACCCCAGCGTCTGATGACTGCAGGGTCAGGACGGACTCGTCGGCCTCGTACGCACCTGGTTCGTCGACAGCGTCTGGGCTGTGTTTTCGGAAGCATGGCGGCACGGGTAGGCCCTCTTCCCCGTGCACAACATAGTACACCAGCAATGTCGCGCTCTGTCGGGTCATGTCAGGTCAAGTAAGACGGCTTACTAGCTTGCACCACACCTACAGCGACGCCTCTGTCGTGGTCGATCAGACCGAGCAGCCCAGGTCAGTTATAAAAACGCAATACAGTGTACTAACACACCTCCATCATGACATATCAGGTGGGTGAGGCCTATCTTAACAGTACGTACACTGCAGTATAGTGTCAGGCGCGCGCTCCACCGAGAGCTCGCCAGGTGGAGTCGGGTCAGGTGAGGCGTAACAGCACGCACACTGCAGTACAGTGTCAGGCGCGCGCTCCACCGAGAGCTCACCAGGTTGGGTCGGGTCAGGTGAGGCGTAACAACACGCACACTGCAGTACAGTGTCAGGTGCGGTCCACCGAGAGCTCGCCAGGTCGAATCAGGTCAGGTGAGGCGTAACAACACGCACTGCGGTAAAATGGCGGCAAGCCCAAACCGGGCCAGGTCGCCTCTGCACTCGGAGTTACGATGGCGTCAGTGGTGCTCACCGCCGGACAACATAACGGTAAAAAAACGTTGTGACTTATGTTGGACCGCGCCATGTGAGCGTTCAACGCGCATGATGGATCTGAACAGGGTGATTACTTTGGCTAGGACAACACAGCGTATTTCATAGCAGCTCTTTGCTTATGACAACAGCTGCCTGTTTCCGCTCGGTCTTTTCACTGGCGATAGGAGCGTTAGACATTTCACCGTTCGCTACGACAGCACAGCCTTCGCTTCCGCACCGCCTGGTTGTTTCCAGGCGGCGAGTTAATCGGCGCCGGTCATCTGTCAATTGTAGTCCGTACCGTCAGCACGCAGAAGATGGCGAAGAGGATCTCGCAGGCAAGTCCTCGGAAGTTGATGTAAAGAGCGCTGCTAACCACCAGCAGAACGAGCATCATCTCAATCATATGAGAGCCCATCATCATGTGCACCCTGCCAAAAGCACACCGGCCTGAATCGGAGGTACGATCCCGTGGTAGCGAAAGGGGAAGGGAGGAGGAGAAAAGAGTTCGTGTGTAACTAGCGAGCACCTTCTGCAACTTCTTCTGAGTTGACGAATACATCAAAATCGCAGCCGGTTTAACTGACATCACGCAGCAGAACACATGTGGAAACAAAAGTGAAGTTTGCATCACGACCAGTACAGGAGTGAGCAATGATAGGTTAAAGAGCGCCTTGGCCGCAGATAACATCAAGCTGAAATATAGCCAGTCACGTTGTAGAAGGACGCGACTGTGCACAAGGGCTGCATTTTCCAGGAGCGCGCGTGATCAGACACGCACACGCGCGTGCGCGAGGGCGGTGGAGCCCGTACCTTTCGCGTATCCAAGCCTCTGTCTCGCACTTGGTCATCGACACCTTGATGACGAGCAGGGCGCGTACATAGAGCAGCAGGCACGTGTCGACCAGGAGCAGCACGGCCACCGGCACCACCACGCCGTAGAAGAAGCTCGAGCTGTACAGAATCCACCAGGAGTGCAGCTCGGACCAGCCGTGCATGTACTGCGTGGTGACTGTGGCCGCCGTCACCAGCAACGGGATGCCTGAGGTCACGCGGGTCAGACGTCACTGGTGCAGCTCAGGTCACAACAGAGGTCGGCACCAACGGCTCCAGGGCGTGTGCATGACATGGGTCATACATCACTGTGGTTGTTGAGGCCGCACCGGCCAGACGTTACCAGAACAGCCGAGCTTGGCAAATCTGGCAGGTCTCGCGACACCGTGACACCAGAGGTGAGAACTCATATTAGTGCGTTACGTTTTACGGCGCATGGGTCACCCATCACATGAGCGCCACGGATCACACGAGTCAGCCGTCACCAGAGCACCATGGATCACACGGGTCACCCGTCACCAGAGCACCACGGATCACACGGGTCACCCGTCACCAGAGCACCACGGATCACACGAGTCAGCCGTCACCAGAGCACCACGGATCACACGGGTCACCCATCACCAGAGCACCACGGACCACACGAGTCAGCCGTCACCAGAGCACCACGGATCACACGGGTCAGCCGTCACCAGAGCACCACGGATCACACGGGTCAGCCGTCACCAGAGCACCACGGATCACACGGGTCACCCATCACCAGAACACCACGGATCACACGGGTCAGCCGTCACCAGAGCACCACTGACCACACAGATCATCCGTCACCAGAGCACCACAGATCATACGGGTCACTCATGACATAAGCGCCACGGATCACACGAGTCAGCCGTCACCAGAGCACCGCGGATCACACGGGTCAGCCGTCACCAGAGCACCACGGATCACACGGGTCAGCCGTCACCAGAGCACCACGGATCACACGGGTCACCCATCGCCTGAGCACCACGGATCATACGGGTCAGCCGTCACCAGAGCACCACGGATCACACGGGTCACCCATCACCAGAGCATCACAGACCACACGGGTCAGACATCACCAGAGCACCACAGATCATGCAATACAAACACTAGATCAGAACTCCTGGAGTGTCTCCGTTTCAGAGGTGTGTTATCACCAAACGCCAAGGTTGAGGCTGGACAAGTCATCATCACCGGGCTGGCTTCGGTTTAACCAGGCCGCCGTTGACGGACCATCTGGAGGCCACGGTTACATCAGGCAGACATCCGCAACAACCGCGGTCCGGTATTCAGGTATAAGAGGGGGTCCGTGCCCATGCGTCACCAGAACACCGGAAGCGTAGATTTCCCGGTCAGCCACCACTAGAGCGCCCCAGTTCTCGCAGGTCAGACATCATCGAACCACCGACCTCGTCGGGGCACCCAAGGTCAAGCCCGGGTGGCAACAGCCAGGTCGAAACGCACCCATAACGGGCAACCGTAGCCGCGCACGTCGGACCTCACCATACAGACACCGAGGTCACGTCAATATTCGACGTCGGCCCCGCGTGGCAGATGCACGGCCTCCGGGGTCAGAGTATCACTGGAGGTCGCACGGGTCAAAAGTCACCGGAACGGCCTGGAGTCACCGTCACGCACAGCGTTCTGAACGCCCTCTCATACCGCAAGACGTGAAGAACACGATGTACTTGAAGAAGTTCGGCTGGCCGCGTAAGCTGCGCAGGCGGTGCTGTTCGCCGAACACGTGCATCTTCAAGGCCATCTGGGTGCTCATGGCGGACAGGATCAGACACTGGAGCAAGGCGGCGTTGACGGCCATGCTCGCCTGAAGCAGAGCACGGACGTCACTCCTAAACTACGAGCACACTCGCCAGCTGACTGACTGACGGAGACGTGCGCTGGACTGAAGGTCGGCTGCTGGGGAGTGAGTCGTGAGACCATGGCGGGCGCGGGCACGTCATTCGACTTACGGACAACAGACGGCGAGGTGACCGAGCCAAACATAGTCGAGAGGCTGCGCTGTGGCGGTGCAGCAGAAACTGCGCGCCAGACTAAGACAAGTCCACCAGACTAAAACTGAAAAACCGGCATTTGTCGCGTCACAGCGGATATGTGGAGATACAGTCAGACGGCAGCTGCTGCTGCTGTTTGAAGTCTGCCGTCACAGCCTTCAAGCCATGGGGTATCCCACCAGTGCATCAGGGGTGATGAGCGCCGGCTGCCGCAGCGGAGAGGCCACTGCTCACCCACCGTTTGGGGGGTGTCGCGGGCTGACACCATGAAGATGACCATGGCGGCGGTGAGCACGAACGCCCCCTGCAGCCGGAGGCCGGCCGGCACCGACGGCCGCCGCAGACAGTGCACCAGCAGCACGCCCAGCGCGTACAGCAGCGGCGGCAGCGACAGCAGGCAGCCGGTCACCACCGGCACGTGCAGCGAGTTCAGCACCGACTGCAGAGGCTGCAGGAGTGCGGCAGCGTCAGGGTGCACCGCCAGCACCGGATCATGTTGGCGCGCGTCACGGGAAACGCGAGGGGTTTGCGTTCAAGATGACTTTAACCTGATCCAAAAGTTCAGAAAACGATGTGAAATGTCTTGCTACGCGATGACAATGACAAAGCACGTGGTAGGAACATATCAAGCCCGTCTCCAACGAATTCAAGACGGGGTCAAGATGCGTTAACTGACCAGCTGGCTGCCATGTCATCACACATTTCCCGTCATGACGCACACAGCACGCGACCGCATCCTCTGCCCACTGACCAGCCGCGTCCACTGCCCACTTACCGATGGCGTCCGCTGACCACTGACCGACCTCATCCACAACTCACTCACCGACCGCGCTTTGGTGAGCAGGGCCAGGGCGTAGGTGCCGAGTTCGCTGCAGCCGCAGCTGAAGCCGCGGTTGTCTGGCAGCACGGTGAGCGGGCAGGCGTCCAGGTGCCAGCGGCCGTCGGCCGCCAGCCGGGCGCAGCTGTGGCTCTGGGTCGACATGTTCCACTGGCGACTGAGCGGCTCCAGACGCAGCGAGACGTGCAGCGCCGGCGGCGACGGGCTCTCCAGCAGGCGCGGCCGCTTGCTGACACCGACCGAGACCAGCAGCGAGTCCAGCACGAACACGTCCCTGGAGCGGCCCAGGTCGCCGGCCCTGCCCGCATGGGCAGCAGGTCAAAGGCGGGTGGGGGGGAGACAGCCACAGAGCAGATCGCTCCGGACGCAGATCGGGCGCGGTCGGGGGAGGTCGCCACGTTCGGACCGAACGCCCCTGAATAGCGCTGCCAACAAGGCCACACCGTCAGAGTACCTGACCTGACCTTTGACCTGATGACCGGTCATCCGCAGCCGAACGGCCCAGGGGCTCCGGCTGTATTGTCAGGGGCGATACTCGCCCGAAGTGAAGCCTGGTGCCCGTCTCAGCTGAGCCCACCCGCACTTGCTGAGCGCGCTCAGGGCATTTGAGCGACAGCTGCAATGGCGCTGTCACAGCAATGATGCGCGCTCAAGCGTTGCAAAGACATAGCTAAATTCACCACCTATGCCTCTGGAGTGGAACAATTCAAGAATGAATTGAATTCCAAAACTCGCCGGTGTTTTTGGCTAGGGTCGCTTGCCGTTCAGCAATTTCGTCAATAACCCGGAGCCAACTTTCACGTAACATCGTTCAGCATGCTGAGCATGCTAAACATTCAGTGTGATAAGCATGCTGAAGGTCTAAAGCATTCCACTGTGTATGAAAGCCTTTCATTCCAGTCACACTTTACTCCTCTTACCGACATCACTTAATTGAGTCTGAGATAAGAGCGCGTAGGAGCAAAAACAGATGAAATGCACAAGGCTTGGGCTCGTTCCAACAAAAGAGCCGGCTGCCAATGGCGGACAGAGTGACCCCGGAACACACCTGGCAATGGCGACCAGAGTGCCCCCGGAACACGCATGGCAAGGGCGACCAGAGTGACTCCGGAACACACCTCGCAATGGCAGCCAGAGAGACCCCTGAACACCTCTGGCAATGGCGACCAGAGTGACTCCGGAACACATCTGGCAATGGCGACCAGAGTGACTCCGGAACACACCTCGCAATGGCGGTCAGAGTGACCCCGGAACACGCCTGGCAATGGCAGCTAGGGTGACCCGGGAGACGGCTGGTAATGGCGGTCAGGGTGACACCGGAACACGCCTGGCAATGGCAGTCAGTGACCCCGGGAGACGTCTGGCAATGACGGCCAGGGTGACCCCGGAACACATCTCACAATGGCGGCCAGAGTGACCCCGGACCCCGCCTGGCAATGGCGGCTAGGGTGACCCGAGCGAGGGAGGCAGATGAGAAGAGACTTACTTGCTGAGCGGTGTGTAGCCGCGCGGGAAGAGGGCGCGCGTGTTCCTGTTCACAGTCACCACCAGGCCAAGCTGCGACACCGGCTGCGGGTAGGTCTGCCACGACTCCTCCGGCAGGACTGACACCTCGGCAGACATCTCCAGCCAGCTCGGACGGCTGAGATTCCGCCCAACAGCAGCGTCAGTCTCAAGGAGAAACGGCAGGAGGCGGGAGGCAGGGCAACGTATGATATTCCTCTGTCATGGTGGGCGGCTGGAAGACTATCGTCATTCACAGCGTCCAATTAGAAGGTTGTATGTATTGCACGATGCTCCGAGTGCTCTCGGAGAGCCTTGGGCACGCCAGTCCAGCAGATGCGTTGGGCGACACGAGAGCCTCAGTCTTACCGATCAGCGCCGAACGGCACTTGGAGACGTGCCACGGACCCGTCGTAGCTGATCAGGCGCGTGGCGATGAACAGGTCGGACTCGGTGCTGTTCGAGTCGTCGTCGTCCTCCAGGAAGACCCGGCGCAGGAGGAAGTTCAACTGCACCGTCAGCAGCTGGAACTTCTCCTGAGGGCGGATCGCGCCAGCACAGCGATAAAAACATAAACCAGACTAGAACGTCATTCAAGGGCACCTGTGACCAAGCCCACGACGTAATGACGTTGTGACGCTTTTAGAATCCCCGGCTGGCGCTTTATGTGATGTCTAGCGTAACAGAGGTGATAAGATTCTGTTCGCATATCACTGATTCACATTCTCTGTTCACCTGGTCCGTCATGCAGGCGCCGTGCTCGTTGAGAAGTGGTGCAACGGAGCCGAGAAACAGCCCCTCCAGTTGCCCGAACCGCTCGTCCGGGGCGACCTTGAACATGTAGGCGGCCATGTGCACCAGCAGCCTGCGGAAAGCCTGCACCTCGGCCGCCAGCAGGTGGGGCGGCTCCCGCTCCTGCGCCCGTTTCAGCCGCTCCGCCACCAGGCGGCGCAGCCGTCGCAGCGCCGCCTCCGCCGAGATGACGTCATAGCCGGCCATCAGCTGATCCATCTGCCGCGTCAGTGCTCGTGGTGTCATACCTGGCCGTCGCCAACACGCACAGGCACACACACACAGGCACAGCGCGCTGGACATGACGCGGTACGAGGTGGTGTTCTGGTTAAGCTGCGTTTGCTGGGAAACCGGAGATTTGCTCTGGTTAAGCTGGGAAACCGGAGATTCGGGGCTCCACTCCCCGCGGTGCCCGCCATTCCTCCCAGTGTGGAGCATCGCCATATGGCATCGGCAGCTGAGTGCGTTGTAAAAACGAATGACGTGCGGTATTAAACAAGGCGTCAAAGTCGTGCAAAGGACAGGACTGCTGGTTATTAGTTACTCTAATGCTCGCGTCATATGCTTTAGACAATTCACTCAATTCCGCATTGACAAAAAGTAGGCAGTTACGTAAAAGATAAGGGTGTTTGCAGACAACGACCGAATGGACGTGGACGATGGAAGCGTTACCACACAGCGGGTGTCAATGCACCTTATCTCCTAATGTCAGATAAGAATGTGAACGTCGCGATGTTGGCCAGAGACAGCGGGAATGGGCTCAACGGTGAAAATGAATTGAATCTGAATTGCAAACCATGATATCATACGCTTGATTGTTTAGGAAATGTATTGCTCATCCTTTGAAACAAAAAACTTGATATCACACATTTCAAGCATAGAATACAAAAGTATGAAAGCGCGTAACACGACAGCCTGTATGGCCAGAAGCATCACTGGGAAGCGATGAACATTAACGTTGCACGGTCGACATGCTGTCCCACCCAAAGCGTTTCCACTTCAACAATATGTGTACAGGAAATGTCTTGGTTTCATCCCTTAAGAATTTTACTCTTGGTACACGATTTTATCTTCTTCTTATTCTTTCCATGGGGCCGAAAACCAGTTTCTTTAACTTATACATGCTTCTCAGCATGGGTTCCACCGGGGTGGTGGTAGGGAGGGGGGGGGGGGTGAAGGGGTGGGGGAGGACAGTCTGTCACAGTCTGTCACCAAGGAGCATCTCGGACGAATAAGGTGGCACTTGCCTCCCACGTAAACATGTTGAAACATGGCCTGCACTAGTCTAGGCATGTCACAAGTATACTGCGATCGCAATGGGTCAATCCAAATGCATTTTGACATTTTGCACGGGATTATCTTGCACTACGCAAGCTATACACCATCTAAGAGGCACTGTATTGTTGTTTATTATAGGCATTTTTCGATAGCCAGCCAACATCATTGCATGACGCAGCTATCGCGTGAGTAGCTGCGAGCATACCTGCTTTTGCAGGATGAAGATCTCCGTGTCGACGCAGTTACCTAAGTCTGACTCGGCCCAGCTGGCCTGGGCTCTGCCCATGACCTCACAGCGCCTCCGGGCGTAACGGGCCGGCACCGCCTGCGAAACACCAGAGCCGCATCCAGGCAAGGTTATCAGCAACGCCAGTCCCTTCTAGGGTGCCGAAACAAATCACCACCGTCGCCAGCTCCACGCGTCGTAATGACGCTCATTAACGGTTTCGAAACAAGGTGACAGTATAATGATTCTAACCGAAACATCTTCAAGAGATGCGGCGGGATCCGTTGAACTGAAAAGCCGTCGGCTGCATGGCTAGCCTCTCACCAACGCACGCCATTTCTACACGTATTCCCTCAGCCGTCTCCTTTCCAGTTGTGAAGAAATGTGTTTGCTCCACGGTGAAAATAACGCCTGGAGCCTTGACACCGGCCTTGACCATACGGATAACTTACCTTGACCTTGACCATGCGGGCCATTCACCCTGACGTTGACCCTTCGGCCTTGACAATACACGTCATTCACCTTGACTTTGACCTTTCGGCCTTGACCGCGTGGGTCATACAGGTCATGCACGGGTCATTCACCCCACCTGAATTGTCTGTCCGGGGAGGACACTGTCCCTGAGGTGGTCAGGGCACGGCTGAATATCTTCCGTGTCGGCCACCGTCTCCTGCCAGGTGATGTCCCCCTCCGTGACCCGGGGGCAGGTCAGCGCCGTGGGGCTTATCACGTTCACCTGGACACTGGCATCGCTGGTCAGCGTCCCCAGCACCACATTGCACTCGTACTGCGCCGTCTGCGGGGAAGAAGAACAAGGCAGGTAGGTGAATGAGGTCCAGAAGCACCATCCCACATCCGAAGTATTCTGTTTTCAGGCCAGGAAACCAGACAATATGTCAACACAACTATGTAGTTCCTTTTCAATGGGGGGGGGGGGGGGGTTAGTCCCTCTGAACTTTGACTTCAGCCCCCAATTTTGAGCAGAAAATGGTCAAAATCCGGAATAAATTTGTTTTTTGGCATATTTTGGTGACGGAATTAGTCATTTTTCACTATTCAGCCACCTGACCCATTTTGCGAAACTACGCCTAGTGTGAACAGCATACATACATATATACATATATCAGCCATAACCACCCCGAAACTAAAAAGTATTGGGATTCCTAAGTGGACAAAGAGTGACAACAGCAACACATGAAATAAAAAGAAGCGTGACAGTAACATCATATACAGTCACATAGTCACATATCAGAGATACCATACCAGAGATACCAGAGTCACATATCGTCGCACACCATTTTATGGAGCACCAGCGTCTACGTTGGCCACATCAGCGCCCAGGGGCCATGGCACAACTGGGGTTTAGGCCCAACCGTTGATGCTCAGGACATTAACCACTCGACCATTGCCCCCCCCCCCCTTCCTTTCCCACCCTGCCCTGAACCCATGCTATTCAAAGCCGAAGTCGTGCCGGTGGTAACTAGTTTGGTCGTCCAGCGTTGGGGAACTCAGGAGTATTTTGTAAGGGGTCGTTCGTATGCTACGTCACGCGTGGACGAGGAATGGGTTTTGCTGGAGCGTAATCGGAGCGTAACGAGGGGAGGGGATGAACAGCGTAACGGTACGCCTGGATGTGGTGGCTCCTTGTTTCACCTCTGTAGCTTAGCTGGGGCCAAATGGGCGTTACTTTTTGGGACACTATGTTTAACACGGCGTGGAAGGTTCGTCCGGCGCAGCCAGTACGTAACCAGGGAGAGGGGCGTTGAAAATGGCCAAAAATACGTGATGTAACTTACAGAGGGCCCTTTTCTATCACATAAGCAACCCAGTACCGCTCTGGGTATTTCACCTCCCGCCACCACGCGGGTGAGATGAAAAAGCAGGTCTCTGTATGGTATCTTAAGACGCATTTGTCTATTCGGAGAGCAATTCAAATCGCTATAGATAGACCTGCTCACTCCCACACAGGAACCGCTATGTCGTCAGTGCAGTTGTCTTTACAACTCAGCAGGCGACTGATGACGCCGCATGTCACAAAAAGTACTTACAAATACCAAAACATGGGCCCTCCAGCAACCATAACTTTGGTCCCACAGCTTCGTAATTGGCGTGGAATGAATAAGTCTGCTGCGATACCTTAGAAACATGCCGTGATGTAAACAACAATGAAAGATTAAGACCAGGTCAACATGTCATGTTAGGCGAACGTCATCTCGCCTGATCAAACATCATTTTCCTTATCTCCCTGTGCAGATCGCATATATAATTCATTGGTCCGAAAATGTGTCAGCTGTGCTGAATTGCTCATCGCAATTGGGTACAAGTTATTTTGGTTCGATGCTTCTGTAGCGAACTAAAACGGCCTTTCCCGATGAACTAGTGTGATCTCAAGTAGGGTGACTGACGCCGACTGACAGGCCCTATAGCCGAGGCCCAAGGCCCTATAACCCAAGGCCCTTCAACCCAAGGCCCTATAATAACGTTCAACCAACCAACGAGTTGAATCAAAAGAACTTACACAACAAATTAAACTGCAAATGAATGCATTCAGAGAAAAATGTCCGTGCAAGTCAACAGAAATAACGGCATAACTTAATAGCTTGACCTAACACTAGGCATTGTTTGCGATGAAATGTGCAAAATCAAAGATAGGTCAGAAGCCAAAAATTTGATCGACCAAACTGGCATGATTTTTACATTGTGTTGGAAACGGAAAGGGGATAACTCATGCAGTCGTGCGTTGAATGTCAATTCAAATGGAATGGTGCAAAATATTAAAACAATTCAATTCAAGCTATCAGTTTTCCGGCTGGAGAGCTAGGCAGGCGGCATCAGATTAGAAAAGTACCCAGAGGCATCGCCGAAGAAAGGGATAGGGCCCGGTGGCCTCCCCGGAGCACAGAAATACTGCATGGTATAATCCAGAGTCTCTTTTCTTAATGGTTTGGAGTCCCGAATCGACGACTTGCCCTTCCCACCACCCACGTACCAGTCAGCTTCCCCGCTATCCCGAACATTGGCTAGCCCTTCTTGGCACTGTCCTCGCCGTCATCGGGCCTTCACGACGCCCTCGCCTCCCGCGACTCTATGGCGACGCCTGCCTTTCTCCCTAGCAGAAAAGAAGGGCATCGTGGCGAATCAAACCTTGTACCTCTGATTTCCCTGATGCGAACCAAAATTACCATACCATAACCACCCAAGTCTATGACGTCAAATTCAAATCCGCGCTTGGACCAGTTGCCCTTGCACCCTAACCATCATTCGAAACATATTCAACGATAGCCCGATGATTTTACGGGCTTTATCTTTTGATTGTATATGAATTGCTTTAATCATATTTGATACCATTCACAATTTAATGATTTTATATTTTTAATGATTTCATAATCTAGTTTGATGATGATGCAGTTATTTTGGAAACTTTTCCCATTTCCCTGCTCCTTTGTCGTTTCATCACCAAAAGACGGAGTTCCGGGTTCACGTGAGCGTGACAAGGAGGCTACAACTCTGCACATCCCTAAAAATTAGAAAAAGATGATGGCTTCACAACATGCATTTATCCACAAATTTGGCAGTTTTTGTGACCAGAAATATATTTCCAGTTCATTTTGGGTAAGAATAGGTGGACGTCTTTACGAACCATCATGTACATTTATTTTTTTTTGAGGGGGGGGGAGGCGGGGCATGTATTCTGTGCACCAGCACACATGACTGTGGAACCTGCGTTTGAGCGGTGGGCATGACCCAACAACCCAGCACAACACGACCATGGCCCAACATGACAAAATGTATCACTTCCTCCGTCATCTAGCATTCAAAGAAGCCGATGACCGCCACCCCTGAAGATCAGGCTGAGCCTCTCAGCTGGAGCGGGCGGCGCACAACGCCTGCACGCTGCTCCCTACCTGCGGATGTCGGATGATCAGGGTGGAATGCCCCCAGCAGTAGGTGACCACCTGTTCGGCCGGGTCCCGCCCGGTCAGCGGTCTGGGTGGATCGCGGCCCACCGCCTTGCTCCACGTGAAGGTGGCGCCTCTCATCCGTTTCATGAGCAGCGAGCAGGTAACGGTGGCGCTCCGGTCCTGGACACAGATGAGGCTGACAGTTACACGAATCACAATTCTGATAGGAACAAGGCAACTTATGTCAAGGTATGAATTCGTACATGTATGTCGTGTGCTGCATAAGGCTGCCTTCTCCTTTTCGAGCGGAACATTTACAACTTGGCGTGATGTCCCAAATATGTGGGAATAATTACTCGCAAAAACGGCCTTGAACATAACAAAAGGCAACGATCAATCCTGGTGCTTACACGAAGGAACGCAGACACGCTAGGACAGATCGACCATAATTTGTCGGGCATCAAAAGTCGAATGAGCCAGGTAGGCTTCGCAACGCACGACACCAGTGCTCGTGGATTTAACCTGTTTACGTCTTCGCTGTTGACCGGGACTTTTAAGAACTTGTTTGTACTCAATGAATGTGAGGCATCTCAAGATATCAGACCATCATTTTTACATACAGAGCACTAGTAGATCTATGTTCAGGTTCAGAAACATTACGTGGGAGGGGATGGGCATGGACAAGCCCCAAAACCTTTTACCGGTCCCAATGAAAATATATGCAACGCTTCCCATCCGTTTCATTGTGGTAGAGGCAGCGCATCTCACCAGTCCCAGCGTTAGCGTTCGCAGCGCCTTTCACCGGTCTCAGCGTAAGTGGCAGCAGAACTTCTCATCGGTCTTCATGTGAGCAACAACACCTCTCACCCTTCTCGAGGGCAGCGTCAGCAGTACCTCTCACCGTCCTCAGGGTAAGCAGGGGCAGCATGTCTCGCCGGTCTCAGTGCGAACAGCAACAGCACCTCTCACTCTTCTCCGCGGCCGTGGCAGCAGTACCTCTCATCGTCTTCTATGTGAGCAGCAGCATCAGCACCTTCTCGGCGGCAGCGGCTGCCGCAGCAGCGCCTCTCACCGGTCTCAGAGTGAACAGCAGCAGCACCTCTCGCCCTTCTCGGCGGCAGCGGCTGCGGCGACAGCGCCTCTCACCGGTCTCAGGATGAAGAGTAGCAGCACCTCTCACCCCTCTCGGCGGCAGCAGCCGCGGCAGCAGCGCCTCTCACCGGTCTCAGGGTGAGCAGCGGCGGTGAGACGCGCACGGGCAGGTGCAGCTCCGGCAGTCGGAGGGTGACGGCCCGTCGCTGTCGGCTGTGGCCGTCCCGGGCCACACACTCGAACCGGCCCTCGTCTTCGGGCCGTGCGCTAGCCAGCGTCAGCGTATGGTTGAACTCCTGGACATCGTCCGCTCGGACAGAGTCCACGCTCACCGAGCTGTTCCTGTTGGCCACAGATGACGGTGGCAATCTCCCCACGACACTCATAGATTCGTTAGCTGCAGGAGCATGTGGGATGCATATCACGTGTCATGCACAGGAGAACTGAGTCCAGAGCATACGGCAGCGGCGCGGGACAGTTAGGGCAGGAACTGAGCCTGCCTAATGCATCACATGCATGGGTTCGTAATGCATTTGGGGCCCCGCAACATTTCGCCTTCTGTAAATCCTGAATGATTTGAAAGATGTGTTGATGTTTGTGCAACGTGAGGCATGTTAGTTAAATATTCAACTGAATTCAAATGACCTTTTACAATAATTATATACGCTTTAGACCTTTAGTAAGACGCTGCGCTGTCACCATAGGCTGTCAATACACTTAATTCTTGTATATCAATGCGACAGTTCTCCATGATGATGTGAGCTAGCACCACATATCGCCGAATATTACATTCTGGCACTTATGGGTACATCAGCTAAACGAAACAAAGCGCAGGCTGCTTGACGAGGCGTCAAACGATCTCGTATGCCGGCGGCGCATCGAGACAAGCCGATGACCGACCAGGATCGAGTTAAGACCCCGCGCGACGGCCGCTTCTAGCAGCGGTCAGGCGCGCCGGCGCCGCCTGAACGGCCACACCCGGCGCTGCAGCCCCTGGCCAGACGGCCAAGGGCTCCAGCGCCGGCCGTCACAGGCGAGCGACACCCGGCGTTGGGGCCCCTGGCCAGACGGCCGTCACAGGCGAGCGACACCCGGCGTTGGGGCCCCTGGCCAGACGGCCGTCACAGGTGGGCGACACCCGGCGTTGGGGCCCCTGGCCAGACGGCCGTCACAGGTGGGCGACACCCGGCGTTGGGGCCCCTGGCCAGACGGCCGTCACAGGCGAGCGACACCCGGCGTTGGGGCCCCTGGCCAGACGGCCGTCACAGGCGAGCGACACCCGGCGTTGGGGCCCCTGGCCAGACGGCAGTCACAGGCGAGCGACACCCGGCGTTGGGGCCCCTGGCCAGACGGCAGTCACAGGTGGGCGACACCCGGCGTTGGGGCCCCTGGCCAGACGGCCGTCACAGGCGAGCGACACCCGGCGTTGGGGCCCCTGGCCAGACGGCCGTCACAGGCGAGCGACACCCGGCGTTGGGGCCCCTGGCCAGACGGCAGTCACAGGTGGGCGCTCGAGTTGCTGTCGTCACAATGCCCGTGAATCTGGGACGGAGCCGACAGAGGATGCCGTATCTCGCAGACAGACGCCGCCGCCGCCGGGCACGCGGGGTCACAGGTCAGCGCCGCCACACGCCGCCTGCCGAGCAGCCCCGTCCACCCACCCGAACCCCGGGGGTCTCCAAAGACGTGCCGCGTTTTCACCGACTGTTGAGCCCCTGAGAGCTCAACAACGAACCTGAGATCGCTAAATGGCGGCAGTAATGAGATTGCTGAACGACGGCTTTGTCGTAGGAACACAATGCGAGGCATGTTTACGAGCGGTGATAATCATGTCTCCTATTTCTTTGCTTCATCCTCCCATGATGTGCAGTGTAAAAAGCCATCTTGGCTGGGAACCCTTGGTGAATACACATCTGTATCTTTGGATGTAAAGCATATGCGCCACGCGGTATGACACTCAAGGCGTGGAATTCCATTTCCTACGATTTAAGTGCGAGTGGTATCGTCAGTTGTGCATAGAATGTGTTCGGACGTGATGTGTTCAGCTCTAATCTTAAGGTCATGCCTTCATATCATTATACGATTTAGAATGCTGAGACCGGAAGCCAGAAAAAGCGAAACCTGCACTAAAAGTGACCTGGTGGGTTTGTTCCACGCCGTCTTCCAGAACCGGATGACGCGTTAAGGGAACCTCGGTCCACGGCTGACCCGTGGCACTGTTTGGACCAAGTGTGCGTACTCTGGCTGGGTGCGGTCAGTAGGCCCATTATCCTACAACCTCTGCTGGCACTCTGCACGCAATCACATGGCTCTGAAAGGGAAACATGGAAGATTTAGATTTCTCACACGCTGTGTTTCAGGCGTACAGCCACACATGTCCGATATCGATAGTTTGGGGGCCCTTCCGTCCTCCATGTTGGTGAGTGGTGCCAGGGGTGACAGAAGTTCTCTCAAGTTTGTCCGTCCCGCTGGCTCAGTTGGTTAGAGCGCCTGCCTTCTGATTCACCCACCCGTGGCAGGGTGGGTTGGAGTCGCTTTAGGGCGCTCGCTATTTGCCCTTGGCAGGTATGGCCTGCGGCCGGTGGCAGCGGTCGCACTAAAGGTCAGCTGACGTCAGAGGGCGGGACGGACCGTGCCGAGCATTGCGGCACGTATAGCTTTCGACGCTAAATCCTGCCGTTGCCTGGAATTGCGCGATCGGATGGTGGGGGTTAGGGCCCACACAACAAGCACTGCATAACGTGAGCGCTGATCCAAAAAATACATCCATTCAAAGGGTTCGAATCAAATTTAAAAAAAAGGTTCAGGGATGACGAAAGGGTGAAGAGTTTGGCGCTCAGCCCTTGTTCTTTCCCCGCCTCCCTACACACAGGTTCCCCCGTCTCCCTGGTTAATATCAGTAGTTTCGTAAGTCCTCTGTCCCCTGTGCAGGCAGGTGATGCCATCCTTTCCAAAATTCCTCCGCCGTCTGGCCGGCCGGCAGCGCCGATGGTTTGGGAACTCCGCCGTCCTCTGTACCGCTAGGTGGCGCTGACAGTCTCGCAGTGCTTCTTTCCCTTTCCCGACGGGTGGTCAACTGCACATTCGTTCTCAATAGAGGTAAACAATACTCCAGCATTTCCCCAGTCACCTGTTCAAAGGACAGTGATCCAGCAGTTATCCTGTACCTCATCCTGGTGGATATTACCAAAAGGCCGGCAGTTCCTCCGTTGTCGGTCCCACCGGGTGCTGCCCTTAGGCCAGCAGTTTCTCAGACTTGTGTCCCGGTAGATGGTGTCTGTAGGTCGTAGTATGTTTCGCACGACATCTACCCCGGTCTTCTACAGCGGCGGGTGGTGCTGACAGACTGACAGTTGCTCTGTTCCCTGCAACGGCGTGTGGTACCGACAGACCCGCAGTGGCTCTGTCCCCTGCCACGGCGGGTGGTACCGACAGACCCGCAGTGGCTCTGTCCCCTGCCACGGCGGGTGGTACCGACAGACCCGCAGTGGCTCTGTCCCCTGCCACGGCGGGTGGTACCGACAGACCCGCAGTGGCTTTGTCCCTGCCACGGCGGGTGGTACCGACAGACCCGCAGTGGCTCTGTCCCCTGCCACGGCGGGTGGTACCGACAGACCCGCAGTGGCTCTGTCCCCTGCCACGGCGTGTGGTACCGACAGACCCGCAGTTGTTCTGTCCCCTGCCACGGCGGGTTGCGCCGACAAACCGAAACTTCCTCTGTCCCTTACAAGGGCGTGTGGTGCCAACAGACCCGCAGTTGCCCTGTACCCTGCCACGGCGTGTGGTGCCGACAGACCCGCAGTTGTTCTGTCCCCTGCCACGGCGGGTGGTGCCGGGAGACCCGCAGTTGTCCTGTCCCCTGCCACGGCGAGTGGTGCCGACAGACCCGCGGTTGTCCTGTCCTAGCGGGCGCGGTCGGTATGGTCCGGCAGTGTCTGGTGTCGACGCTCGTGGGACGGCTGACGCGTCAGACCCTGCGTCCGGCACGAGTCCGCAGTGAAAGCCGAGCCGGCCGCCGGACGGCGCCGAACGCGTCTCCGGCTATCAGCCGACCCGGGGCAGCGGCGCAGGGTGGGGGGGGGGGGGGGGGGCCGCCCGGCGCCGCCAGGCGCCTCCAGAACGTCACAAAACACGACCCGGTCGCGTCATAGCCCCGTGTACACGTGCTGCTCTGCACACGTGCCCCCATAACTCTACAAGTCTGGCATTTCAGAGCGTAACTGCGCGACGGCGTTGAAAGTGCTGTAGTAATAAATTGCCCTCCTGGTTAAATGTCTTTGTGATAACCCGACGAGTGCTACGTTTGCTACGACGAGTGCTACGTTTGCTACGACGAGTGCTACGTTTGTTACGACGAGCGCTACTTTAACATTTTGTCAAAACACGAACAAACGAGCTTGCTTCGAATCATTGACGCCCCACGCCATTGAAAATAAGCAGCATCCATCACTATTGCTGTGGTAAACTCGTTTTATTCATCGTTTCTACGGAATAATTTCTCCATTCCCATAAGACACCTCTCAACTGCGCCGATCGGCGAGCGCATGTTACAGAGATAACACGAGATCGCTCGCAGGACGGGCGTCTGATGGATCAGGTTCGGTCACAAGACCAGCACAAGTCTTCGGGGGCAGCCGACCGTCCAGCGTCAGCAGGCCGCCGTCCACTCAACGCCGCGAATACCATAATATTGACACACGCCCAGCGGCCCGGCGGGCGGCCGCCGGCGCCCGCCTTACGGGACCTCCTGCCCCGCGCGAGAGCTGAAGGGCCCAGCCTGGCTGCCCGTGCCCGTCTGACGGGAGCTCCTGCCCCGTGCAAGAGCTGAGGGGCCCAGCCCGGCTGCCCGTGCCCGTCTGATGGGAGCTCCTGCCCCGCGTGAGGGCTGAAGGGCCCAGCCTGGCTGCCCGTGCCCGTCTGACGGGAGCTCCTGCCCCGTGCAAGAGCTGAGGGGCCCAGCCCGGCTGCCCGTGCCCGCCTTACGGGACCTCCTGCCACGCGCGAGAGCTGAAGGGCCCAGCCTGGCTGCCCGTGCCCGTCTGACGGGAGCTCCTGCCCCGCGCGAGAGCTGAAGGACCCAGCCTGGCTGCCCACGCCCATCTGACAGGACCTCCTGCCCCGCGCGAGAGCTGAAGGGCCCAGCCCGGCTGCCCGTGCCCGTCTTACGGGAGCTCTTGCCCCGCGCGAGAGCCACAAGGCTCAGTACGGCTGCCCACGCCCGTCTGACGGGATCTCCTGCTCCGCGCGAGACCTTTCAGGGCCCAGTGCGGCTGCCCACGCCCGTCTGACGGGACCTCCTGCCCCGCGCAAGAGCTGCCTGTACCCGGCACGGCTGCCAGCAG